ATGATAATAACAAAGGTATTGTTTTAACTTCAGAGTATAGCAATGTATCATTCAACTTTTTAGATCTTAACATTTTTATCAAAGACGGATTCATGCAAACCAAAATGTTTTTTAAAACATAATTGACCAATCCAACTGTCACTATAAGCCCTGGCTGGATGGTATCCCTAAAAGCCAATTTCTCCGCCTTCACCGCAACTGCCCCCTAACGATTTCATAACACAATCTACCTCATTAAAAATTAAGTTTATTTAAAAGCATTATCCTTTAGATAATTTGGATGCAGCTCTCAATGTGGTTACTAGCAAAGAAAGAAAAGATTTGTTAGAATACAAAAGCAATAAGGATAATAAAGAAAACCCTCTAGCATTACCTATTATTTTAGACTTTAACAGTAAAAACAAAGTTATGAAAAAAAATAATAAATAAACACTGGCACATCCTTAACCCCTTAAAACCAGAGGGCGTACTATTACGCCCTATTCTAAGCATCTCTAAACGCCGCAGGGCATAATATGCCCTCCGTTTTTTCTTACTTACCCAGTCGCCGGTGATCGCAGTTGGGAAGACTTATCTGGGATCCCAGGGATTCCCCGGCGGTGGATCCTTCCTCCTGCGCCCCCCCTCCCCGGCCATGTGAGAGTGAGGTCCTTGTGAGGACCTCACAATCACATGGCCGGGTTAGCTGGCTGCTGCATTGCCAGTGTTTGTGACCAAATGGCTACTAAAAAAGACTGGACATACCCCATTTGCAATACCTTAGGTTGTCTACTATTGCAAATGGTATGCCATTATGGGTGTAAATTTAATTCCTGGGCTACTATACAGTCTCATAGGCAACATAACCAATCTGGCGAATTTCAATTTCAAATGTAACGTGCTATATTTGACCCTGTAACTTCCCAAGACACCATAAAACCTGTACATAGGGGGTACTGTTTTACACGTGAGACTTTGCTGAATACAAATATGTGTATCTTATTGCAGTAAAAGCAAACAGTATTATGACATTGACAGTAAAATGTCACGTAGAACTAAAAAAATAACAACATTTCTTATTTTCTCCCATTTTTTTCATATTAAATTATGTTTCATAGCTAAATATTTGATATTAAATGAAAGCCATGTTTCCCCTGAATAAAATGATATATAATAAGGGTGGGTACATTTAATATGAAAGCAGTGAATTACGGTCGGACAGACATATAGCGCAAATGCCAGGTTTTGTTTACTCAGTCCTTAAGGGGTTAAACAAAGGACCAAATACCAGAAAGACCTCACATTTTATTTAGAGGAGCCCCTGGTTTTAAAAGTATTCTCACCAAGAACTACACTAAAATAAACAAAAAAAATCCCATAAGTTCCCTACTGAAACCTAAAGGTTTCTTCAAATGCAATAAATGTATTGTGTGTAAAACGACAAATCCGACAATCAAATATAAAACTACCCATTTCTCCTCTAAAAATACTGGCAAATCTTACCAAATTAAAGACGTCATTGGATGCAACTCCAAAAATATTATTAAGTGCCCTTGTGGCCTTCAATATATAGGTATGACTAAAAGATATATAAAAATAAGACTCGCAGAGCATTGTCACAACATTATCAAAGGGTACGAAAACCACTCTGTGTCAAAACACTTTATAAAACATAATAAAGACCCTAAATTATTAAAATGTATTGGGATCGAACAATGTTATACCCCCTGGAAAGGTGGAGAGATGAGGAGAATCCTGGGTTTTTGAGCTTAAGACTCTTTCTCCAGAAGGTCTTAATGTTGAATTTTTTTTACTTTTTATGAAAAAAATTATAAATATTTGTATTACCCATATTTGTTATATTACTATTCATATTTATTGTTGCTATTAATTTTTTTCTTATAAATTTTAGTTTTTTAAATATATTTTTTGTTCATAATTTTTTCACTTTTTTTCTCACTTTTTTCGCTTCTATTTATGTTATATTGATTTTATTATTTACCTTATTTTTTATACTATATATTTTTTAAATAATATTTTGCTTTTAGTCCCTATGCACGTTCCTTCCCCCCTAGGTTATATTCACATATCTCCCTTTCTATTTTCTAAAGACGGAATCTCATCCACCATCAAATTATATATTAGTTAAAAAAAGAAAGCTATCTATCCCTGGATGTATAAGGTAGGCTATATTGTTCAATATATAAAGTTTTCCACTTAATTCATTGTTTCTCTCCTCCCCCCCATTTTTCTTTTTTTTTGTCCACAAGGTTTATTTTTTTTGAAAATGTATTATTATTCCAAGATTATTTCAGTGAAATACAGAGAAGACTAGGAATGGGTCTCGCAGGACCCTACAGCATGTTAAAAGCCTTTTTGATGCTCTGAGGGCTTTAGCCGGATATTGCGCCTTAGACACTTTGGGTGAGTGTCAAGGGGTGTGTTATTACTCCATAATTGTGTTCACACAGGGGAGACTGGAAACCAACTAGGAGTTCTAGTGACGTATCAATTCTAGTCATGTATTAAGGTTGGACCAGTGATGTTAAAATTAATGTCACTTACGAGCCCTCGGTGGGATTACACCTTCTGCCATGTGTAAAAGTCCCCCGTTGCACAAGACTGATATGTGAATTCTTTCTTCACATGTTCACATGCAAGAGATATAGACAACATAAGTGAAAAGAACAGAAGATAGGACATGAAAGAGTATCATGTGCACCCCTCCATCCCCAGCCCTCACCCACCCCACCACTCCATCCCTAACTTGTGTCTTCCTTTTCCCAACATATTCTATCCAGGGTTGCCATAACTATATATTTTGCGCTATATTCTAGTAAGGAAGCCTAAAGCGCGTTGGCAGATTGGATATCCTCTAACCACTATTAGAGGACAGGCACCAGAGCTTTGGCTGCTTTGAGAAGATGCCTCAGAATAGATTTTTTTGTACTTTGCTATCAGAGATGATGTGGAATGTAACAGTATTTGTTCCAAATTTAAAGGCGATGTGTCGCCTAAGATTTCCACAATTTTAGCTTTGACCATGTCCCAAAACTGAACTATGCAGGGGAAGTCCCACCATATGTGTCTCACATTCCCATCACCTCTCTCCTGTCACATCTCAAGCAATTAGCCGGTACACCTGGGAGTATTCTGTGTAAGAGTGCTGGTGTTTTGTACCACACAGTGATAAAAGTTTGTAGTTTACTTCTTGATAGTAGGTGCTGATTCAGGATTTTTTTTCCCATTGGGTGTCTGTAAAAGTTGTTCCTGTTATATTTTCCCACTGTCTATTGAAAGTGTGTTGAGACCAACAGATGTTGATACAGAAGGGATACTGCCTAACTTAGGTCGGTATTTCCAAGGCATAGTTCTTCAGTCCAAGTGAGGTCTCTATGAATTGTAGAAGTGCTGCAGCTGTATGTATCGGTATCCTGCAGTCTTGTTAGTATGGAGCAGTTAGTGAGTTTGGTATATGGTATATGCGGAAATCTGGGAGTGCTAGTCCTCGCCATTGTGGTAAGCACAGCAGTTTATGCCAGAGTACAGGTCTGCTGCCTCTCCATACATATCAGATCACCATGATCTCAAGGAGCCAAAGAATGCCCTGGGCAGTGCCCTGGGGTCTGTTTGATAAAGATATAATAACCTATATTACGGCAATACGGCAGAGCCATGAAAGCCGTGGATAATTAAATTTAAGTAAGTCTTGTTGAATTTGGGTTAGAAGTGGTATGAAATTCGCTTAATACCCATATCCTTAAATATTTCATTCGGGACTCACACAAACGAAAAGGAAACTGGAAACAAAGGGAGTCATTTTCACCACCCTTTCGCCTTTAGATAAAGGTTCTCAACATTTGACAGAGTCAACTTGAGACCTGATCGATGACAGTAGGTTCAAAATTCCCTTATGAGGCATGGCAGTTTAAGTCTAGGCAGTTGGATGAAGAATAACATGTCGGCAGTGTATGCTGCGACTTTGTGCGTAACACCTTTACAGTTGAAACCAGCAATATCCATGTTTTGTCATACCACTTCAAGTGAAAAGGCAAAAGCAGTGGGCATAAAAGGCATCCCTGTCTTGCACCATTGCAGTTATGAAAAGGAATCAGTTAGTGCCACATTGACACGGACTCTAGCATTTGGGTTGCTGTAAAGGATATCGGTCTAGTTCATGCAACGAGTAAGTTGGGTCAAGAAAGCCCTATACCAGGGGGGACAGAAACCCAGTTGGTAGGACAAAGTACCTCTGTCTAGAGAGGGGATCCATGGGACTACAGTAGCAGAGACTGCCAATCAACACCTGAGATAACCCACAAGGATTCAGCACTAACTCCCCGCAGTGACAATTATTCACACAGATAAGGGTGGGAGACACAACCAGGTCTAATCAAATGCCACAATGAGAGAATGTTATCAATATATTATGAACATAACAAATAATATTGATGGTGATACACTTCATAGTCACATGTTTATGGCTTGGATGTATCAAAGAATTGCAAACATATGTCATAAATGAGCAAATAAAAGTGCAATGGGAAGTATAAGAGACATAACTTTACCTAAGTATCAATTTCCCTGAAGAGGGCTACAAATGGTGCCAGGTGAGATCCAGGGAAAAGGACCTGCAGTAAGCAATGGTAAATGTGAAGGCAGTGGGGGCAATTATGGCATCTGTAATTCTGGTCATGGAGGACTAGTAAAGCAGGTTCTGCACCCCGCCAGGTGTGTCGGGCTGCCTTGCTAGCCAGGTAGAGAGCCCATCTCCATGGTTTTCATGGTGGCCTTGGATCTAAAGTGTGTAGGACCCAATAATTGGAGGTAAGTCCAGGCTTTGCAGGAATTGTGGTATTTCTTCAGGCAAGTGGGCTGAGACCCACTCTCTCAGGGTACAAAACAATAAACTAAAGGGAAGCCCTATTTATAAGGGACATTCTGCTCTTTTTAAAGTAACAGGCTACAAATCTCTTCTGCCCTCGAGGGTCATCAGTGACAGGTCATTAAGAAGGGACACCTCAGTACCCCTGTAGTTCCAGTGCAGAAGTGATATGCGGAACAAGGGAGATAAAAGGCCTTCCACATCCTCCTCTCTCTGCTTGTATCCCAATATTGCAGCAACAACGGTAGTTATTAAGATTCTCATGTTTTTCCTCATAGCTAGGAGCATAAGTGCTTTGCCTTTGTATGGCCATATCAGCTGCTTGAGCCTTGGCTGCAGTAGCTTCTGCACAATGCTCCAGGGTTTGTATTCGCGTCTCTTGGGCTGATGCATCTGTTTTCAGCACAGCCACTTCGAATTTGATCACTTCATGCAATGTATTCAATAATTGCTGAAGGTCATGTTTGGTGACCATAGATGAGGCCATGCGTTTGAGACAAACCCCAATGTGCACCAGGGTGGTGTGCTCAGAGTTTGAGCAGGTGGATGCAAGTGAAGAAGATACCATTTTAGATGTGAGAGACTTGTGTGAGGGTCCGACCAGAGTTTGGACATATTCGTCCACTGGACTTTTCTGTGACCCCACCAGATTACTCATCTATTTGTGGGGAATCTAGTCACTTATTTGGCTCTATTGGCCTGCAGGTTAGGGCTATGATATGCATAAGGTAGCAGCATGGTGTGGAGCTTCACTCTCAAATGGCCATCTCGATCAGAGCTCCCCATTTTTAACTAACTGCTAGTTATGGATTTTTTTAAAATCCTGGCCTGGAGTGATAGCATTTGGCATTCGATTTCAGATGTCCACTTGCAGTTGGTACATCTGAATTCCAGATCTAATTCAGTCTCTTCCAGGGTTTGATTTCAACATTAAGATATTGTGAACAATGTTCAGATGTTGCAGGTGAATGGCCATATACACAGAAAGATAGTTTTGCCGGTTTGGAGTTTAGTGAATAATCCTAGGGTAAGCCTAGGATAAATCCATCATTGCCTGAGACTCTAAGGTGAAACTATCTGGAGAAGTACCTTAGGACTTATCTATATTGGTGAAATGCCATTATTAATATCATAATACCTTTGAGGCATTCACCATCTCTTGTCAAACAGTAGAAAGGCTTATTTGCAAAATTGTTACTTATTGTAGTAAATCTGAGTCCTGAGTAATGACTTTCCCTGGTAAGAATATGGCAAAGAGGCCCAAGAAAATATTTGTGTCCAGGAGATTAGAGATGTCATCCATTTTATCAGAAGACTCTTGACACCTTCTTGCTTGTCTATACAGGCGGTGCCTGACATTTTGCTCTCAAATGATCCTGAAAGTGGAGCAAGTATACGTATGCCATGCTAAGTTTTTGAATGTTGGATGAGAGTTGTTGAAGCCAAATTGACCATTTGGGTCACACATAGTGGTCAATGTAGTGGGATCCCCATTCTATCTGGCTGACATGTATGGTTACATTCCCTCTTGCGTGTATTTGGTGAGTTAATCCACCACAGCAGCTTTCTTTTTAATTCTTTGGGAATGTAAGTATGTTTCCAGTCATTGTCAAATTGACAAAGGAATGACCCTTAGATCCCATTGAACACATTTCACTAGACTAATTGTTGTAGACAATGTGTCTATGGTCTCTATAAAGTTATTGATGTTGTCTTGTTCTGTGACCATAAAAGAGACACTTTCTCTGAGACAAAATATTCTTTATTCTGTTAGAATTACTGAAACGTTAATAGTGTGAAAAAACGCTTTTAGGAAATCAATATTTCTTGTTGGAATCAATATCAGTTGGCTCTTTTGATAATAATCCATGATATCTGCTGGTTACCTGATATGACACCAGAATGTGAATGTCGTTGAAATAATGAAAATGTACTAATTCTCACCATTGTGATTCTGCAATGACTATGATCAGTTCTTTGTGATCCAGAAAGGTAGTGCTCTTAACTGCAGCTGCTGGCTAGAGACTGAGAACGTGCAGTGAGAACTTGCAGTATGCATCATCAATGGTGATATGAGTGTATGCATCTTTTAAGTAAATTGATAACATCCAATTCAATCCTAGGTGAATAATGGATATAAGGGCCTTGATTTAATTAAAAAAGAACATCTTTATCAAGTACTTATTGGTTCCTGATAAGCCATTTATCACGTTGGAGCACGTAAAGAGATGCTATTAAAGGCTTATTGGAAACAAATATTTATATTTGAAAATTGGTCACACATCAACCGATAAATAGCCTTATCGGATTCAATACCTATGCGTTGTTGATAAATGGGTTTATTACTATGTGTCTGCAGGCACCACTAGCAGCCAGTGGGCAAATAGTTAAAAAAAAAAAAAAAGCCTTTGGCTGCATGAGAGTTAATTATATAGTGGCAGACCAGCCCATTTCCAGCAAGCCACCACATTAAAATGTAATAAATATTAAAAAAGTAAAAATAATAAAAAAGATATAACACCCCTATTAGCATAAGGGTGGTTTACCTCCCCTATGCCGCACCTGCTTTGTTGGGGGTGGGAGCATGTGTACTAGACAGTAAGCAGCCAGTGACTGCTCACGGTAATAAAAAAAAAAGTGAATGGGCAGTTATTGCTGTCTAGTTACTAATAAAATGCTGGTGGGACTTGTCACATGAGTGGGGGCTGAGGGACACACTGACATGTATTTCTTTATTAAATAAGATATTCCCAACTGCCACCTGGGTATAGGAGACAATTTAGTAACCCCTGGTTAATATTTGAGCCCCACCTGCTACCATGGTTGGGGGCCAAGAGGACCTTAGTATGTCCACTCCTGATTTTTTTTTTTTTTTAACAGAACTGCCACCTACTGGCCCTTATTTAAATTTAGGCCATCATCAGATGCCCATGGTATGGGGTCTTTCTGAGCTGTCCAATTGCTAGCTTATAATTACAGATAGCAACCGCTGGCTCTGCTTAGTATACATGCCCTGACCATTCGTTGTATTATACTAATCTGTTATTATTGACTCCAATAGGTGTTCTGAAAAATCTTTTCCTAAACAACTCTAACTGCGCTTTTGATGCACATTTATCAGTGGTTTTATGTTGGTCGGAATTTATTGAGTTCAGTTGCTTGATTATTGGCTGAATTTCAATAAAAATACTGTCCAAATACAGTCGATAATTATGATCAATGTCAGTTACAGATTTCATTATGAACTTACATATGCAAAGAAACATGTTGAGACAGTACAGGTCTTATAGGACTTTTCTTTTCCACATTTGACTACCAGAATGAGTGAGTTCTGGTGATATATACCTGAGAATCCCTGGAACATACTCCATTACCTTACCCAGAAAAAGTTAATTCAGATAAGCAGACACAGCAGCTCTTTTGTCATCGCCCTTTGGTATTTTTATGAAGACAATTCCAGCTCAAGGAGAGATATCACCGATTTTTAGAAGCTATCCTAAAGTTACCACTGATCTGACCCATGCATACAAAATGTTTGTCCAGATATCCAAAAGCTGGAAATGTCTGTCTCCTACATGAATATTCAGGATAAAACCAAGTGGGTTTCAAAGTTTTTCTGTGAGTAGATGTTCTTGGACACTGAAGGTTTATTGGAAGAGGATTGTCTTTCTCTCTAGTTTGAATATCTGCAATACTCTCTTTCAGTAGCCCTTTGAATCATGAAATGACTGATTATGTTGTATCTCCTGTATGAACTTGACTTTTTAGGTTAATGAGCTCAAAGTGAAGTGCCATTGGTTGACATACCGTGATTTGTTGAAAGCTTGCTTCAAAGACTTTTCAAATAATACTTTTCCTGAGAACAGAGCAGACTGACTTGTTAATATGTCTGTTCTCCGTGGTCTGAGCAAACTTTCAGAGTCACAGGTCAAGCACACATCCTTTCCAATATTCTGTTGGAACTTAATCCTTTGTCTAAATCATTTTCTATATTCGGTATCCAGGCTTTCCTAACTCTGAATTCTTCTGAAAGAGCAATTGATGAAACAGAGGTGCTGCTGTAGTGAAAGCTCTAGAAAGGTCATTGCCCTTTTTTATATTCATAGGAACACGTATAGATGCATTACATTCAAGGGAAGTGTGTATGTATAAAATTGCTTCATGACAGCAACTTTAGCGTTAAAGGACCACTAAAGTCAATGACATTTCAATGAAGTGGCCTAGGTGCAGTATTCCTGCCCCTTTAACATTGCAATGCAAAACTTTGCTTTTTTTTTTTAAATGGCGAGGTTAAATCCACCGTTAAATCCACCTCCAGAAGCTGCCACTTAAAATCACTAGAAGCACTTCCGAAGCACTGACTGAGTACAACTTGGTCACGTAGTGCATAAGCCCACACATTCAAACACCTACACTGCACACAGATACCATCCTGGATTTAAACACCAACGCTACACACTAATCTGCTTAATCTAGCGTCTCTTTTGACCTCATATGTATACTTAATACAACATTATCTATGAATAAACTGTTAGATTTTAAATATGGCCCTCGTCAATTCCTGTATTTGTTTGACAAATGTTGTATTGTCTCTTAGTTATATTGTACTTTCTTTTGTTTTGTATCAATTGTACCCATGGACAGCACTGCTGAATCTGATTACACTTTATAAATAATAATAATACTAATAATAATAATAATAATAATAAAGAAATGGAAGAAAACAAATGTTTTCACATTTTTGCTTATAATAATGTTTATACATCAAAATCTCAAAAATTGATTGATGTAGTAGTCCTGAATGTTAAATGCTTCTTGTGTCGAGGCTTAAAATTAATTTTTGGTAGTTTATGCTAAATCTATACCAACTCCAAACCCTATACCAATAATATCCCTAACCCAATGCTTTACTAACTCTAGCCATACACCGAACCCTAGCCTTACAAAATTCCTAACAAAAAAGAAACAGCATTTACCCTACCCTAGAATTACATCCTTACCTTACCCTTACACTAATCCTAAACTAACAAATACCCCTTACTCTAACTAAGAGGGATTCCCTCTCTGGCATCAGTAGATAATTTTCTGAGCTAAAATAGATGAGAGTGATCTATGAGTGCCAGCTTCTGGCTGTTTACAGCATGAGAGGAAATTTCCCACTCATGCTGCAGCTCTGACATGCTGTCATTGTAGATCAAACTGTGATCAGTCCTGGCCAGCTGACAAAGCCCAACACTAATCACTGTTGTTGTGGGTAAAATTTTGGGAAATGTTCGATCAGCCACAAGGATTTAAATGCAATTTAAAGGGCAGTATGTAGTGCTCACTTTGAGAGCTTCATACAGCTCATCTGTCATGTAAATATGGCCCCAGTTGACAGAAGGGAACACAAAGTATCGATTAATACCTGGGTCTCCCTTGTGAGAGCAGGGATTTAACCCTGCACACACCCAAAAATTAGGACGACCAATGCCATCCTAATGGCGTTCAAGTCCACTCTATAAAGGACAACATGGAATGCCCTAACATCCAGGGCCAGTGCATCCATAAGGTGGCACAGGTATCCACCTTGGGTGAACCGGCTCTGGGGGTGCAAGACATGAGTGACCCAGCAGGAAGGAAGCACGCAGCGCTCCCTCCTACCAGTCACTCAGTGTA